AACGGGGAGCTAGCTAGCTTTGTTCTTCGTTATTCACCAGCCACATACGCAGAGTTTTCCACGATAAAGTTATATAATGTTTTCGTAAAAATACTAATGCTCCTGGTCAAATATCTGAAGTTTTCCGATTGGTAAGCGTTATAACAATCACAGTTATAGCTTCTGAATATATAACACTCTGACTATAGCAAACTAATAATAGATACTCCCTTTTAGCGCGTCGCGTTGGTTATATTTATAGGCGTGTGGAGAGTTTCTCGAAAATTCAGATTACGTAACAATACAAAGCTACATTACGCGTTTACGTACAGACATATACTGTTGATCTTACACTCGAGAATCTTCTACAACTTTAGAGAATAGGTGGGAGTTTCGCAAGACGTATTTAACTGTATAAGTTATGTACATTTGTAAATATGAATTTAATTCAAGCAAACATTGATATTAACATAAATATATAATAATAAATCCGTCACACATATTAAAGCATAAGAATTAGTATTTTTTCACACACGCTCGCGTTAAAACGCATCTGGTGATTCTTATGTCTACTAACTTTTTCTCTGTATTAATGGTCTGACAAAAGTAGCTAAATAGTTGACTAGCTGACTTCAAAATTATGGGTGGTTAGCCCTGGAGTGGCTTTATGCAAACTTCAGCAAATAAACTCTGTGTTAATACGATAAGACTAAAGTACTTTTAAAATTATTGAATTTATTGTCACTGTTTATAATTTAAATATCAGTAGAATTATGTTTGTGTGTTACATTTAATAATAAGGTAGAATGGGCTCTCAATTGTTGACGATCATGAATGTGCAAATGTAAATGAACTGGGATTAATGTCGAATGGTTTTGTTTTAGAAATTAAAGTCCATCTCCTTTCATTACACAATAAAATGTCTTACGTAATGACTAACAGTTTCACCAGTTTCTATTACAAATTGTATTGGTATCAGTTTAAGATAACTAATTCGTCTAACTTATCAATATGTAAAGAAAAAAAAAGGTATTAGTAAACCCGGAAACCTACAGGCGACTTATCCTGTTTGCTTGGTTTTCTTTCTTTCTTTTTTCTGTTAGAGCTATCCGTAGACGCAGAATTCATGAAAAATTAGATGTTATGATTTTTCCGGAGATTATGTTTGGTGAGCCTAAGCCTGTAAGTATTTGTAGCACTCCGGATTTCAAGACTGAAAGTTCTAAGATCGGAAACATAAAGTATGAAACATTGTTTTTTTTTGGAAACTCTAAGTGTTGTAACTGAAAGATTGTTGCCTTTTTTGGAAATTATAAGTATTATAAACACCTTTCTCTTTCAAACTAAAGGCATAGCAGATAATTCGATTGGCATTTAAACACATAAAAGCACTAATAATTTCATATTTAGTGACTTAAAATGCGAGTCTAGTGTGTTTATAGATCGAAATTTCTGCAAAAGCTCAAATAGAAACTTGAATTAGAAAAGCGACGATATATTTTGTACACACGGTCATTGACAAAGTATGTAATATTAACATGTTTATTATTTTACAAACTAAATTATTATAACTATCCTACTGATTTTCATGAATTACATGTTATACCACTATTTATAAAATAATGAGTTTCATTATTAATAGGGCTTGGCATGGTCTGGTGGTTAGAGGCGCTTGACTTGCGATCTGCAGGTCGCGGATTGGAATCCCATCACTGAACATATCTGTTCTTTCAGCCGTGGGGGCATTATAATGTGACGGTCAATCCCATTATCCGATTACCATAGCCCAACAGTTGGCATTTTCATTTCTAAATTAGGGACGACTAGGCTAGATAGTCTTCGAACAGCTTTACACGAGAATTCGTTTTTATTGTCAAGCATAACTTCACAGCCTAATGAGTTAATTTCAAAATTACTTTTTTTGTTATTTACTAGAACGTTATATTTTGACTGAGATACTTATGTAATCATAGTGAACTTTATTTCTAAACAGCTAGAAAGGAAATTCAAATTCGAATGTATCTGACAAAACAAATATTAATGGTATATTTTACACACCTTGATATTTAATTACAAACCATGTTTATTAAAAAAAATATGATCCGCAGATTTCGAAAGAAGAAACTGAGAACGCATATTCCTGTCTTGAAGAATTACGAGGTTTGTGATTATATATATACGTATATATACACATGAAAATTGAATTGATGGCCAATAAATTCTGAGGTGATTGCGTTAAATCGGAATAAGTAAACTACTCCACCTTTCTTTTTTTTTAAATATGGTAACAATTTATTCATTATACAGATTCATGATAACTTTGTTAACCAACACATTTTTCAGGCTGCTACTTTTAAAGCACTAATCTATTGTCCAGCAATTCGACAAACTTCAAGTTATTATAAAAATATTATGAGCAAGTTGAATAAATTAAAGTATATTTGATATAACTGTAACCTAAAAAGAAACCGCATGACTTAAGTTAAATTTAGTGATATACAAATAAACAAGTAATGAAGTTTAAAATGCGCTGTTTACGTTTTGTTAAGTTTATAATTCTAATTGTTTGTATATTATCTAGTTATTTGAAAAACTAGTTTTTCGTACAAGTCAATGTATTTTCTAATTCCCTTTTTTTTTAGTTTTATGTAAAAAATTGTTACGTTTAACACAGGTGTTACCGTATGTCAGGGTGTAGTAAAGGGTGTAGCTCGTGTAGCTAGAAACCTTAAAGAGGCCTCAAGTTTACAGGTGAGTTTACTGTTTAGTTTGCTAGAGTTAAATTATTTCATAAGGATATGTTGGGTAGGGTTTGACAGAGAGTCACGTAACCAAACTATTTGTCTAAGTATATATGACAAGGATATCAGTGGGTCGTAAGTCAAGAATGTTGTGTAATGACAGCAAAAGTCATAAAAGTTTGATTTAAATAATTTAAGAAATCGGTTCCTGCCGAACCTAGATAGCTAGACAGAAAGATGGATGTTAACTTAATTCTGATACAGTGAAATAACTTCTACTCCTCTTTTCACGAGGATTCTTTCCAGTAGGCGTAGCTCCAAAATGTTTCAGAACAGTTTTGTTGGAATCACGTCGTAGCTCTGGGCTTGATAAAGTAGAATCTGGACATTATTTGTATTCAGAACAGTTTTGTTGGAATCACGTCGTAGCTCTGGGCTTGATAAAGTAGAATCTGGACATTATTTGTATGATTGCAACAAGACACAATTTATTAACATTCTGTTATTTTGCTGTTTATTACATAATTTTACTGGAAACTTTCACCAGGTGGAGTTTTTAAACTAGTGTGAGAGAGCCAGTAAGAAAAAAACTCTGTTATCCGTCGTCGAATGAGACAACGATTTTTACGTTTTTATTATATGCCTACTAAATACTCAGTATCGGAATCTTTCTTGTTTTAAAACAAACATTTCATTTTTTACAGCAAGGAGATATTCTCATTGCCTACTCTACAGATATAGGATGGTCTCCACACTTTCCACTTCTGAGTGGTATTGTCACAGAGATAGGAGGTCTAATTTCTCATGGTGAGTTCCATGTTTACGTTTTGAAGAATGTCAGTTAGCGTGCTTTTAATTTCATTAAGAAAAGTAATAGAAATAATCTTCGATTTGAACACAAAAACGTTATAACTGAACTTAATCTCTTTTTCAAAGAATTCAAATGCAATACAAATCATACACCTCTAAGTTCAAAATAAAAATAAGCATCAACATGAAATAAATAATAGACTATAGATTGCGTTGTGAATACGTAGAAGTGAAAACAAAGAAAGGAATTTATAAACAGGTAAAACAAAACTCTACTTAACTCTTAAGAATTTCATACAAATTTTGTCTTTATCGTCTCTAACGTTCAGCTAATATACGTTGCCAAACCTTCTGTTATCCATCATGAAAAAACAAAACAAAAAAACAGTGATCGGCCTTTTACTAAATTGAGTCACAGGACAAAACTTTAAATATTTAAGCAAAATTAGATGAGGTGAACTATTACGGTTAAGATACTGTTCGTTTGTGATTACTTCAAATAGGCGTATATGTATCCAAAAATCCCATTCCAATGAGGAAAAAAAACACACACACACACTCACAGCACCCGCCTGTTCAAGCTGTTCAATGCCTAAATGGCAAAATTAAATGAACTGAAGATGTTTGAAAATTTCCATCATAGACTTTCACTTCACTCTCATTACAGAACAACCCTTTTTATCTCACGAGGAAGCAGGTCACAAAAGTTAAATAGAGTAGGACTTGTTCTAACGAAATATAAATCACTGTTTTGTCCTTATCATCTCAGTTGAAGCACAAGAAAATACAAATACTTTACGTTTCTGTTAATTCGTACTTGTTTAACAGTTAAGTATTAGATGTTAGTTTAAGTGTACTTTAAACATAGTTTTAGGTTAATGTTCGTATGGTACCAATGATCATGTATTGTTCTCCATAGTAAACAGTAACCCATGGTTGGCGTCACGGAGGTTCACGGTTTGCGACTCGTTTCCACAAAAAAGCTTTTCTTTCTTTTGGGCCGAGGATGCGCTACAAGAGTGACAATCAAATCCTACTATTCAGTCAGACAAGTGTAGCCCACGAGTTGGCAGTGGGTGCTGTTCGCTATTTTCCTTCTAGTCTATTAGTCCAAAATTAGGGACAGCTATGCGCACGTGTCGCTCTCTGTGTAGCTTTGCGCGAAAATTTTAAAACAAAAATAAACCTACTGGCCATTTAGGCTAACTTTACATGTCCTTTTTTTACATTTTTACCACACAATTTTCTCGCCGACTGGAAACATACGACCCCGAATCAGAGTGGGAAGCTGTTGCAATCGAGTAATTTATTGTTATGATTCATATCCACGAGGATATACATTATATTTGTTATTATGTTTATCGTTGCAACTCGGGCACAAGTCTGAAAATTATTCCCTCTGGGTCACGACAACGAACGTCTTTTCTTTTAAAAAGATTTGAAAAGATTAAATATTTCTAGAAGAACTGCATATAAATGAGAAATGCTGTGATAAATGTAACATAACTGCACAGTTTTTTATTTTTATTTTTTTTTAGTGCATGATTCACTCAGGTTTTCTTATAAGTATATACGATTACCGAGTGACTTGGTAGGTCATAAGAAATGAGCTAACATCATATAAAATCGTTTTTGCTTATAGAATAGACAATAACCACAAAGTACATACTTGGTGTTATTTGAATTAATTGTGTTAAATACGCTATTTTATATATTTAGTCTGAATGAGACATTCACTCTTTCATTTTGTTGTATTAGAGTACGCGTCAATTTTGTACATTTTCAGAGTAAGAAAACAGTATTCTTTGTCTTGGACATATAGCAAACTGCACTTACAATTTCAGGACTAAGTATTTGAAGACTTGGATATATCAAAACCTGTTCTACTTCTCTCATATATTCATCACATAAAGCTTTAAAGAAAAAACGTTACGGCTTCATGTTCTGATCGCAACTGACGATGAACCATTAACTCAAAATGTTTTAACGAAAACACTAATACACGAATTGGCTAACGTCAAGTAATGAGAAACTCCTAGTAAGTGTTTATTTCTTATTTAACACACTTTATGACTTATTTCAAAAACTTTTATTTTATTAGTATTTCAACAAAAAAGTAATCACTATCTATGTGAAAAGATAATTTTATGTACATCGAATCTTTCAGGTGCTGTGGTGGCGCGGGAGTATGGGATTCCATCTCTTATGTCGGTTCATGGTGCAATGACAATGTTAAAGACAGGTAAGAGTCTAGTATTATAAATATGCAAAACACAGTGGAAGAAATAGGATGATTAAACTATGGTATAAAATTTTCATTTACAAAATAATTCTCAGTGCATGAGAAAAAATGCCTTAGCCCTTCTTCCCGAAATTTGACAGCTAGAATTTTTTCACCGTGTTGTAAACGCCTGTTACCTTTTGCCCTTATAACACAGCCTTTGATAGACAAGTGTACATTTAAAACAAAGTTTTAATGTACTGAAAGCATCTTAATTACTTCACTCATTTGATAATCCACTTTATCAGTTTTAAGTAACAGGTGTATTTATCCTCTTTATCTGCATGTTGTGTCCCATAGGATTATCTACTTCCTATATTCATGTAAAATACTTTTGCTTAACTTAACATTGGGTAGCGAAGCCTTAACACAGGTTATTATCAGAATCCTTTTCAGAAGACATTTTAGACTTTATCATTTTCTTTTCTTGTAAAGAAAAAGTCATAAGTTACTGAGACCAGCGATCTTTTCAATATATAAGTGTCTTCGGGACTCAAAAGGTTAAATCGGTTCCACTATCCGATGTTTACATCACACAAATTAGTGAACATGTATCATCTTTTCAGTATAAAATCCCGCGAGTTCTAGCACACATGTAAAATGAATGTATTATTCATATTAGGAAAGAATATTTTGACATTCTTTTTTTCAGCTTCTAATGAAAGAAGCTTGTGTATTAAAAAGTATCTTGCCATCAAAATATGGCCGACAGGAGTCTTCATTGAACTTAGTAATGTATAATAATTTTATTCCATTTAAATATTTCGTTTCTGTATACAAGCCCAGTCCAACTGGTAAGTTCTGAATTGAACGAAAGGACTTCGAGGTAAAAGGACGATCTGAAATGATATTTTTAAGCATCCTTGGTTTGAATGATATGATTTACTACATAAAAACAGTGTAAAAATAACAGTTCCATCAATACGTAATGTATAATACCGATGAGATTACTTATCTAAAGTAATTGTATTTCATTTTGCAGACATTTATGTTCTTTGTTTTGTTCTGTTGTGTGGTATTTGGTAGCTGTAGTGCTAGGTTACTTGCGAATACTGTCCCTTACGTCTCAACATATGATTGCGTAAAAGCTCATGGAATGGCTGTATTAATCTGATCAGGCCTGGCAATCTGCGAATTGCGGGATCGAACCTCGTTATCATGGGGGCGTCATAACGTGACAATCAATCCCACTATTCGTTGGTGGTGGGTGTTGTTGGCGAGCTGCCTTTCTCTAACGTATCACTTCAAAATTAGGGACTGCTAGCACATATAACCGTCGAGTAGTTTTGCGTGAAATTCAGCAAACAAACGTTAATATGATCATTGTAAGTACTGTCTCTTCATTATGCTTGAAGATGTAGATGAGTGAATGCAAGCATGTTGGCTGTATTATTCAGAGATCATTAAATAATTTGTCTTTTATTTTCTTTGCGCCTAAAACTATTGTGAGTGAAAGTCCCGGGTCGGTCACTCACTTGGCGGTAGGTTAAGAGGAGAAGGGGAATTTTTTTATGTTTTCACGAATTCGCTATTTCATTGAAAACTGGGATCTTTTTTTTTTAAATACCTCCCTTAAATTGAAAAAAGTGGATTTATTGTACTGAAAACCTTCGGAATGTTTTACTTTCAAACTCTGTGTGCGATTGAAGTATAGCTTTCAATGGACTGGTGTGTTGGGATGTAAACCCCCCTGACAAGGCAATCCAGTTTCAGACCAGCTAAAAGTAGCACCAAATATCGAAGATATTTAGCGTAGTAAATGTAAAATATGAGAATGCTGTGATGGAAATGAGACTCCATATACTGTGTATATTGTGACAGCCTTCCTGAGGTACACTAGATGGTGGAGCTAACGGATACTGATAAAACTTTAGTAGTGCTTTAGCTGGGTGTAAAATGGTCGCTAGTCTGATTTGCGTTAGAATCTGAGAACGTTGAAAAGGGTAAGAAATTAATGACTCAATTATTTTCATACTTCAGATCAACAAGAATATTATATATCTAACAAAGTTCTATATATTTATTGCTACAAGTGCTCGCTGCTAAAAACATCAGCTTTCTCCCTGATTTCACCATAAAAATAGGGTATATGTTGTTGAAAACTCCCCGATAAGGGTGGGTTTTTGAAACCTGAGAACACGCATGGTTAGCCACTTTTTCAGTACAACAGAGTAGGAGCGGGGTTCTTTTCCTTAAACAGTGCAAACATTTTATTCTGCACAAAAAGTTTAAGTGATTTACACGAAACTCAAGTGTGCGTTAAAAATTAGAAAATAGTTGACCTTTTAGACATTTTAAAGAATGTGTTGGTCGTTCAATTCATCTCGGTTACGGCCCTGGTCATTACTAACATCATCATAAATTCAGTTCTTCCTTTACGCCAGAAAATGTGGTTAAATGAATGCATATACGTTGGTTATATTAATACATTCATTGGAAATCTTCCTTACACCTCAAAAACATGATTGTGATTGAATGAAGAACGCACACACGTTAAGTACAAAAGTTTCAAATGATTTAGTCATAATTAAAGCAAGACCCATCATTAGTTGTGAGGTCTGAAAATGGTGTGCCAGGAAGTTTAAACTGATAATAATACTATAAATAATTTCTGTAGTGAAATGTCTAATCCCGTGAGTGAATCTGTAGTATTGTTCTTTGTTTTTATGCAGGTGACTTGGTAATTCTGGATGCCACTCGGGGTGTACTGAAGAAAATAAAAAAAGAAGAAACGCTTTGAGCTAGCCATTAGCAATAGCGACGTTATCACGCAACATTTATTACATGTATTTAATATATTTTTCAAAATTCAAGGACAATAGAACGGTTCTTTGTTGGTTTTTTTTCTATTTTTCCAAAGTATCGTTACAAAATACAATGATTTAAGGGCTATAGTACTAAAAATAGAGGTAAGATAACAGAACACAATTAATAATAATAATAATAACGATTGAAGAAAATAATTCGAAAAATTAATTAACAGATACATTGATAAATAAATAAAAGCATCAGTGTTAAAAGTTCGGCTCTTCATTTACGATGAAACTATTTTTAGCTTACTTTTCATTTTTAATGTTAAAATCAGAACTACTGTCTTGGAAAATGTTTCAATCCAAGGTTAATCTTTGGACAAAATAAAAATATGCATTGATGGTTTTCAGATTGTCATGGAAAAATGTTCTAATTTTAGGGTTATATGGAAAGTTAATATATCATTGATTTGAAATCTTATAAAACTAATACTCAGAAAAAAAATATTTACTATTTCCGTTCTGGTAGGGCAATCCTTTATCTAAAAGCAACAAGAAGATATTAACGTATCGAAAACTTGTACTTTTGAGGCATTACTTTATCTAAAAGCAACAAGAAGATATTAACGTATCGAAAACTCGTGTTTTAGAGGCATTACTTTATCCAAAAGCAACAAAAAGATACGTATCGAAAACTTGAGCTTTAGAGAGTTCTTAGCTCTAACTTGGTTAGTCTCTGCTAATCCTACACGAGACTGTTCAAGATGGTTGCTGCTCTAACTTAACTTCTGTATTTAGCTACTGCCCGAAATCTAGAACCTAAAATTCGAAACTTGGCGATTACTACTACAAGTTGCCAGATCATCTGCACAGTCATAGCCATAACAAAGTTCTTAATGTTGTAAGCTAAGTACAACGCTCTGAAACCATTTTGATGCAACCATAAGGAAACAATAATTACGCACTTCCATAGTTTGAACCATTTTAGCAATATCTTTAAAAATAGATGGAATTACATAAACTAATCTTTAAAATATACACAATTACTTTTTAAAACAAATTCTAATTTGAAAATTTTCGTTAACTGCTTATAAGATGTGGTTGAAATGCTACTGTACATTCTTCTTACTGGAATTCAATAACGGAATATTAATGAAGGATGAGATTAAAATTATTATCACCACTATTGTAATCTAATATACTAAAAAATACTTTTTTTTCTTATCTAAAGAAAAAGGTTAGTCCGTTAGATGTAAGTTGTCTCAGATTATTTGATGTAATTCATTACATATTATAATTATTCGGTGGTATATATATATATATATATATAGTAACTATAATTTAGGATATGTGGTGCTGGAAGTTGTTATACCTCTTGGATGGACACTGTGGTCCAGCCCGTCAGTCTGTATAGAATAAACTAAAGGTTTTTAAGACACTAGACTGCGAGTGTCCTCTCACTTTGCCAGACCCTTTTTCCAGAATTTCCAATACTTCTATTAATGGTACCAGTGATATTAATTGACCGTTAAGTTGGATGCCCGATGTACAAAACCACCTATTAATCCCTGTCTGTGAGTCGAACGAGCATTATGTCTAATTCCACTTCAACCAATAGACTCGCAACCCACATCTGTCTTCTCCTTTTCGTCTGTAGTCAAGCAAACTTCTAATACAGCATGTGGACTTTTAGAAGTAAAACTATGGGCCCTAAAAGGCATTATGTCTTGTGTTCCACAAAGTGTAATGGAACATTTTTAGTTTTTTCATGTTCATGAATGTCAGAAGTCCCCTTTTATACTCAGTAACAGCTTGGTTAAGTGTAATGTAATGAATTCTCTCAACAGCAATTTGGAGATATCATTTCCAAGCAAGTTACAATGTTTCCTGTCCATCAAAGTACGTGATCATGAGTGGCTTATCCATGTTAATCTTGCACACCAGTTTAGTGGGGTTCTTTTCATGCCTTCTGTCTCCTCTCTCTTCCAGCCTAACCCTTCCATCCTCAACAACTGTCTCTCAGAGCCATTGATTTCAGTCCCAACGGGTACCTTCTCACTGCCGATAGTTTCCATCCTTCATTACTGGTGAAAAGGATGTTGCAAACATCCGATCCATTAATCCATTCCTACTCTAATGGTTATCCACAACTCCTCTCCCTCAGTGTTAGTTTGTCCATCTCCAAGAATGGTAATTGTTCTTCACCACGATCACTCAGAATCTTTTCCCACTTGTCTCTTTTGACGCATCATGATTTAGCCAGAATTTCAAAACCTACACCAGCTGTAGATCTGAACCCGTGAACAACATTTCTTGTCAAGTACCATACACTCTGTCGAAAATGGATTGCGAGATCTCATAATAACTGTTGCCCTGATGTTTTCCGTTATCTGCACTATTCCAGACTCTTTGTCAATATGATTAAAAGAGCATAATAAAAATAATTAAAAACAAGCCGTTTTTAGAGGGTTTTTTTTTGCAAGTCTAACATGTGTGCATTTTTATATGTGTACAACCTTAGCAGTCAATAGTAAAGGTTTTAAAGTGTTGTTTAAACAGAATCTTTACTGTTTAAGGTGCTTTCTTGTCCGAACGTTCTATTAGGGTTTTGTGCAATTCCTTGCAGTCTATATTATGAACCACTCGTGGTTCCTGATATATTTTTTTCACAACCATTAGTAACAAATTGCATATTCAACTACCTTGGCGTTGTTAATTCTCTTAGCTCATGACTATAAATGTTCATAGCACTGATTGACTGACTTCGCGCAATTCGGGATAGTTATTTGCAGCTGCAGATAATACACAAAATTGACTTCTTGTAGGAGGGTTACATTACAGGATTTTCTGGCAAGAACTTTTTATATTCCATTATTATAAAAGCATGCAAGGCACAAAAGTTTAAGAGTTTCGAAGAAAGAGATATTAGTAGTTTGAACCATGTTTACAAGCTTATCCAAAAGCACATAGCCAGAAGACCAACTGTCGAAAGCTAAACGATTGGTATGTGAGAGATGTCGAGTGGAAATATATGGTAAATGACAAAAATCACCACATAAGTAAGCACAACACATTCTGGATATATATATATATATATATATTATCGTTTTATTTGCGATACAATGTTTCCAAACTTGTAATGAGTATTTCGAAGATTTTTTATAATTGTTGTAGTTTACAGCTATGATGACACGTTAAACTTTCAGAGAATTGAAAAAAGTTGCTAAGGTTACCTCTTAATATCAGGCTAACATACTGACACCTATATACCAAGAGGAAAAATGATATATTTATGAATTAGCTAACACTGAGTCGTGGTTTCATCGAGACAAAGCATTCAGCCACATGTTGAATTCAACTTGCCAGCTCCTCTGCAAGGAGCAAGTGCAAACGGAAATTCATTCTATGTTATTTGTAGTCATCTCCCATGGAATTCTGTGCCTTGGTTTGCTCAAATAGGCTCTTAGAAATCCACGTCTTACACACTTGATAAATTTTGAAAAGCATATACAGAAGAAGGAACGATAATAATTTTAGTGTATTGTGCAAAAGACTCGTATAATTAAAAATTGCGCTACAGAGTAAAAGTCCATATCGAGGGTCATCAAAATGAATACGTCAATGATGGAAGAAGGAGCTGTAGGGCCTAGATGTTCATCCTTGTAATATTACCACAGACCTTAAAGTTTCCTATGTCTTTCATTGATTCTGACACAATTTTCACACTGTATTTTGTGCTAACTTCTCCGAAATAGAGAAGGATACTTCTGAAACTCTGTGCATACGTATATATATATACTACACCGAATACAATACACTCACCAAGTAATAAGTATGAATCATGATAGGTGTAAACTCAACAGTCTCGCATGCCCAATCTACTTTGATTTTAGCATTGAAAGTGCTGAGAATCATTCAGATATCATAGATTTTGATATGGTGTGAACACCTTTTGCAGACGAAAGAGTGATTACAATCAATTATATGAGATATATCCACACATCCATTGCCGAGGACGTCAGCAAAAGGCATTCACACCATAACAATTGTTGTCCCGGCCAACCTGATGAGTTCTGATATTGAGCGAATTGCATAGCTGACAATGGATGTGATGGGCGTAGTGTGATTGAAATATATTTATATACTCTTCTTTTTGAAAGCTCCTAACGGACTGAATAAAGAATGCAGTGTTTAAAAATACAATAAGTCTAATGCTATTCTCATATAACAAATATGAATGATTATAATCACAGCTATGGACACGGTTTGAACGAGAAAAAATGTGAAGAAATTTGAAAAGGCATGCCACGCGGTTTTTATCAAGTTTAGTAATGGAGCCCTTTAGACACCTCTTTGGATTATCATATTTCAGTAAGAAGACCATCATTATTTGCTCTACTTGGGGATTATAGTAATAAACAAGCTAACATGAAATGAATTTATGAAAATAATGGGAACATCCAAATCTGTATATATGTAGGAAGTGAAGAGGAGATACGAATTAAGTGTACATAGTAGCGACTGCAAAACAGAGACAGATTTTAGTATTAAATACTAAATTCGTAATGTTTTCTATGGACGTTCTCGAGCAGTGATGAGGGTGCTGCTTATGGGATTTTATCTTAGTTGGTTTACTTTTGTAGGCAAGTTCTGATTTTATCTTTACTAACCCCCATTTTCAAAGTGTTTAATAGTGGGACTTGACTGATAGAATATCAAACACATAAATATTATTTGAATTAATTATGCGCTAATCATGGTAGAGGATTTTATGCGTTACGGGTAACGGCATCTATGACATCAACTTTTAAACTGATAGAAATTTAAAGATATTTAAAATATAAAAAAAAACTACAGTTGTTTCCACCCTCGGTCATTTGTGGATGGAAAGACATGAAAGAAAACGTAGTTAAACTATAGGAAGTCATTCGTGTAGTTTTTATTTAAAAAGATAATTCTATTCTTTAATAAATCTGACAATTTTCTTAATCATTGCTTTCAATTACACTGCTTTATATTTCAAGCTAGGGAGACTTTTTATTATTACACGTTGCTCTTCATTACAATGTAACCAAAACTCCATAATTATAGAAATGAAAATTCTCAAGTACAACGTTTCAATAAAATAAATAAAAGGTAACTACTGCTTTGACTGCATTTTTTCAAAATATCTGAAAAGCGATAGACTATGAAAAAATGGCGATTGGTTACTTCACTTTGAACAGCATCTTAAGTTTCAAATGGACCAAACTGCGAGGTCAGGGACTACTAAGACACAGGCGAACCACCCCTAATGTTTGAGGCAACAACCAACAGCATAAGTCGTATTAGCGGATACACTAAACCGAATAACAGAATTAACTGTCATAGTTAT